TTTTTTTTTCTAATTCTTTCTTGTTTAAATCATATAAATAAAAAAACAAATTATGCAATTAATTGCTCAATTTAAATTGCGCGTATGCAATTAATAAGTAATTAATATATAAATAACAATTTACTTACCACAGGGTTGCTCCACCGGTGCCCGATGTCTCTCCTAGGCCTCCTCCTCCTCTCGGGTTGATTCACACGCGCGATACTTTAAACGGCACTTCCGCACTTTTATTAAAAGATTACTTCCGCACTTATACGCGCGATACTTTGAACGACACTCCCGCACTTTCGAATTTCGGCACGATCGAACCCCGCTTCACGTGAGAATCACACTTCGAGTCGACAAGTCGGGAATTCACCGATTACTTCGAGCAAAGGTTAAGCGGAAGCGGAAGAGGACGAAATCGATTGATGGAATCGACGCGAATGGGGTTCGCTCGACTCTTGGTCCGCGCCTGCTCCCATCGAGGGCCGACTCGAACTTCATTAGGAACGATTTCATACGAACCACCAAGTCTCTATCATACAGACTGAGCCGGGTTTATCGTAAGGCTAAGAGATGGGTCATGAATGAAGATACCCACCTCGTAGGTGCTAACAATCTAGATCACTTAGAAAACGGGCGGTCAACTTCTCTAGCGAGCGAAAATCGAACCTAATAAGTACAGCCAACTCCTCTAATGCCAAACATGTTAGTATTGCTACAATGTGCTGTTAGACGGTACAAGAGAAGGGACCCATGAACGACGATTCCAAAACAATCGACCGAACTCTAACCGATTCGGGCCGAACCGTTTGTCGGAGCAGAACGTGCCCTCAACAGCCAATTCTCGAACCGAAGTTCAAGATTAACCGCGCGAACATGCATCTATACTATGCACGAACATACGTTGCTACGCGGCCGGCATTCACCTCAGCCGCGACACTGAGGCGTTTTAACATTGCGCCTGCATTAATATATTAAATTTATTAATACATAAATATTTATATAATATATAATATTAATATAGTATTAATATTAACTGATATTAATATAAAATTAATTATATTAATAGGTATTAATATATTAATGATGAGAGACATGAGAGACATCCCCTTTAGGCGGCAACAAAGTATGATTCTCGATAACAATCATGAAAACGAGATAGAAATCCAACGCGAAGCGCGAAAACGGCGACGACGCGAAAACGCGAAAACGCGACAACGCGACGCATCGTTGCTCGTGCGGCACGATGACGGCAACGACGACGCACTAATGTGCGTTCAACGCACAAATGCGCGTGCCACATATGAGCCATTGTGCGACTCGTGGCAATGCTGTGTTGACACGCGACGCGAAAGACGCGAAAACCGTCCGCGGCACGATGACGGTACCGACGACTAATTAATTATTAATCTTCTCGACACTTGTCGCGCTCGCGTTTAGGAAAGGAATTTTATGGAGTCTCGCACTGCTACATTACTGCTCGAGTATCACCGCGCGAATGATAACAAACACATAAGAAAGGAATTTGAGAGTCTCGCCCCACTACAGTTCTATTCATTTTAATCGCAAAAATCATTAATCCATTAAAATTATTTTCAAACAGGTAAAATATAAAATATAAAAGTTTTATTTTCTATGGTAATATGACACATATATACTCGTGAAATACTATGTAATAAAAATAAAAGAATAAGCCCCTCGCGTGTAGAAGACTTCGGAACTCTGACAATATATGTCATCTCGTTTACTCTTTACTCGTTCTCGCTCTCGCTTTCGATAACATCGGAGACCTTTACTTGTCTATAATAATTTATTTATAATATTTACAAATATTATATAATAAAAACTAAAACATTTTTTTTATTTTAGAAAGTAATTTTTTAAATAATTTAATGAGTTAATAAGATTTTTAATTAATTTTAAATCATTTTAATGGATTAATGAGATTTTTAATTAAAATGACACCAAAAACACGATATAATTCAGATAATTTTTATTTAGATAAGAAAAAAATATTTTATCTAATTGAAATTTATCCGAATAATGTCGCGTTTTTTTATGTCACTTTATTTGCAAAAATTTTTTTAATCAAGTAAAATCACGTTCAAAAATATAAGAAATGTAAATATAAAAAATTTTATAAAAGTTTTTATATATTCAATAAATGCATTTCATTAGACACTATCCTTGCTCCGAAGCATTTAGTGGGCAAATGAAGGCGAAGAATCTTGTTTTTTAAGCAAAAATAGCTTTAAGCGGAGCGTATTTATTGTCATGTGTTTATTTTAAAAAGACTTATAGTATTATTTTTTTATTGTTCTAATTACTTATGTTTATATAAATTTGTATATAATCGCTTTTAATGTGCATCGGTGCGCCCTAATGCATCCAAATAAATTTATAAAATAAAAAATTAATTAAATAATATAATTAATAATAAATTGATTAATTATAAAGAGCTATATAAATTAAAAGCATAATTTTTAATATTGCTTAAAATGCTTGATAATTTTGTGTCGAGAAAGAAAAAAGTGAAAACAATTTATTGTAAATATCTTCTATACGTTACATTTAAAAATTAGGAAAAAAGTTATTAAGAAAATTTATCGAAGAAAATTTATTTTTTATTTCACATGCGTGTACCTATAAAAATACTTCAATAATAACTTATTATCGCAAGCCGTAGTATATACTAAAATGACAAAACATCACGCGCAACTAATAAAACATTAATAAATTTATAATATTTCTCCGCATTTTTTATCCACAATATGGATTTAGCACGGACTCACACCAACTGGCCGTTTTACCGTGGCACCGAAAAGTGAACCTGGCCATGTAATTCCGCTGGCTCTAAAATGAATCTAGTTGGCGCTACTGTATTAACTAGAAAAAGCGTCTTTCGAAAAACGGCGGCGTGGCCCCTCTCAGGCTTCTCTCTGGTAACACTTGGTCACACTTCACCATGCGTTTCTGCTAATTCTGATCTGGCGTCCCATGGCATCTTATACTGAAAGCCGACTCTCAGCATCCCTCGGAAAACTGTCAACCGGTTGTGAATGCGGATGAAATGATTAGAAAGAAGTGTCGAAATGATTAGAAAGAAGTGATCGTTCGAACGTCAAGTGTTCATCTATTTTTTCATCGTCTATTTTAATACATTGGTCAACGCGGTTTCGACTATGGTCGCACAATAAACGAATTTCCGGACTGCTTGACGTGTCACGTTGATCGCGTACCGGACACGTGGTCGTCGTTTTCGTCGGCATGGAACCCAGAAATTCGGCGATACTGGAATCTTCTGGCGAGGATGCCATACTAATCGAGACTGTGAAGAATATAGTGACGCAGCGGGAACGCAACGAGTCGGAGACCGAGGATGATTTCTTCCTGGTGTCGCAGGACCAGGTTGAGGGGTACTCCGGGGAGAACGTTGAGGAAACGACATCCCACAAGCACGAGACGAAGGAAGTCCTCACGTGGATACACCTCTGCAGAACATGCGCCAATACGTGCGATAATCTAATACCCATCTTCGAGGGCGAAGGAGCGGAGCACGACTTGCCTAGTAAAATACTCAAATACTTGCCAATACATGTGTGTACAGTACTTAATCGCCAAAGTGCAATTTAAGCATCAACTATCTCGGTGATGGCATATTATTTATTCGCTATTTACTTTACAGATATCTAAAAGCGATACTCTGCCATTGCAATTGTGTCATCACTGTGCAGACACGTTGTTGGCCTGGCATGAATTAAGCGAGGGATGTCTAAGTGCAGAGAAGAAACTACTGAAAATGCAGGAAACATTACAAAATAAGCAACAGGTAAAGTATAAGTAATATATTATTAAAGAAAATCTGTTTACAATTATAATAATTTAGTACACTTACTATAATCTAAGATGTAAGATCAAACAAGATAAAAGAAAATATAAGATAAAACACAAAAATTTTTATTGCCTCTATGTTTCCTGACATATTTTCTTTTTTTATTTTCTTTTCATTTAAAATTTAATGTAAAACACTTTTTTCTATCTTTCTTTCTGTCTCCTTTTCTTTGTCTCATTTTTGACATCTTGGCAGTATATATTAATTATACATTCTTTAATTTTGCAGTATTATCCTGCACCTTTAGCTAATTTTGAGGTTTCTACATTGGTTACAACAACAACTCCAACCATTGTGTCAAACACAACAAACTCGCAAGTAAGTATAATAAAACAGTACAATAAAGTATTGTAAAAAATAATTTCTCTGTATTAAGATATTCAGTTACATCTCTTTATTGCAGCCTGATCAGCAAATTAACGAAAAAAATGGAGCACATGGCATAGAAGAAATTAATAAATCTAACAGGTAATGATTTCATATATTCTCATAATTTGTTAACTGTATATGAAAAAAAGCACAAAGTTTTTTCATTCACTGTCTATTTGTTATGTTAATTTTGCTTATAATTGCCATAACTATACTTTTAGCGGGGATAATAGAATAAATGAATAAATATATGTATATAAGTGCTATGCTTGTTAAATGTTTTCTATACGTTTTACGAAAAGATGGAGATATGATCGATCTCACATTGAATACACACAATCATAACGCGTTGTAACTGATGACTCAATCAATCATTTGAAAAAAAAAAAAGAGAAAAAAGAACGATTTGCCGGCGTTGGGCACACCAAGAAAATTTTTACGACAACTTAATGAAAGATTCCGAGCAAAGCATAGAAAGAAAAAGGCAATGTACCGGAACGACCGGAGGTTGGCTTTAAAGATTATACCCAGAAAAACAAGCGCCGAAATATAACCAGCTCAAAACGGCAATCGTCCACAGCAAGTGCGAAACCTGGAGTCAAGTTTCGGCTATTTTGCAGGTCATGCGGCGTCCGGACACCGTTTAAAGTGTCCCCGGACACGCAGAATGCATTTTGGAAGCCATACAGGAAACGATGCCAACCGAAAATACGCAACCTGAAAAAGCCTGAGAGTGCGGCGACCGAGGACTGCGATCCGATTTGGATCACCGTAATGGACACGGTGCACGATCAACCGCCCGCCATGTCTGAACAACTGGAGAACGATCCCTTGAGGTTGACCGCCGAGGTGAAGAAAGAGCATATCCCCACACAAAACTCTATAAGAGACTCTAATCGCGAGAATGAGCCTTATCGGACGTTCGCGCGCGACAAGGAGAAAATCCAGATAGATCAAATCCCAGACGATGAATCGGTGCATTCCCTCGATAACGAAATGGATAAGGATTTATGCAAAAGCAGCAAAGCATCGCATAAGGAGGAATCTTTTCTGTGTGCCGAGTGTGGAAAGTGCTTCAGATTGAAGGATTCATATCTACGCCACATGAGGATTCATAAAGATGAGCGACCGTTCACTTGTCACGTATGCGGCAAGCAGTTTCGCGATTCCGGCGGACTCACCAGGCACTTGAAGGATGTGCACGCAAAACTGAAGAACTTTATGTGCGATCTGTGTGGCAAATCGTTCGCGTCCAAAGCTACACGAGAGGATCATCGACGCACTCATACCGGCGAACGGCCGTACGTCTGCGATTCGTGCGGCAAGACCTTCAAATCCAAGGCGTCCCTCTATATCCACAGCAAACTTCATACTAACGAGTTCCCTCACGCGTGCTCGTATTGTAGCAAAAGGTTCCGCCGACGACAGGAGGTGCTGGCTCATATAACTACGCATACCGGCGAGAAGAACCATGCGTGCGACGTGTGCGCGAAGAAATTCCGAGTCAAGTCCGAACTTGCACGACACAAGCTCATCCATTCCGAGAGCAAGCCGTTTGTCTGCATCAAGTGCGGTCTCGCCTTCCGACAAAAGCGCTATCTGAACAATCACATTAAAAGCCGGCACAACGAATCTCTGCGAGCGTCTTAACGATAAAGAATGTGCTTAGTGATAACAGCTTGCGCTGGACGCAATATCACTTTCCTTCTTTCTCTTTGTCTTCCTCTTCTTCTATATAAGTATGGTTCTTCATTATCATGCCTGGAAGGAAACCGATTCAAACCTGCCGCATTTGTTGTTTTTCCAGGTGTAAGCCGGCAATGGAGAAATCTTTCGTGATGTGTCGCTCCTCTCGTAGCGCTACTCTATGGGCAAATAATATTACGATAAAGTACGAAAACACTCTGGCGAGAAGCGCAGAGATTGCTAGAGAAATCTCAAAAAAAGAAACACGCAATTTACTGGATAATAGCAATATTGTAAGATACGACGAAAAAGCGGATTCAAATGCCTTAAAGTATCAATCAATAGCCCTACAATCAACAAGTGAATCTGTAAAAAAGGGCTACACTTGTGATAGCTGTCAACGCGTCTTCACACGAAAGCATCATCTCATACGTCATGTGATGGTTTGTAATACAACCAACACAGAAGATTTATCAGGAATTAAAATGACAGAAGATAAAAGGAAGACAGATTATAATTTGATAAATCGAAACAATTTCAATCATCTGATGGAAGACATCAAGAGTCGAAATAATGATGAAGATCAATATCGCGTTTCATCAACAAAATCTCCGAAAAAACGATCCGAAACTTATTCCTGCGAGTATTGTGAACACACTGTGAAAAAAAGGAAGCTATTAAACGCCCATATAAGAGAGGTACATCCTGAATTCATAAAAAAGAACCGAAAATCATTTGTCGCCACAGAGACGGTATTGCGCGCCAGAATGGAGCACAACGGTAAAATGTATTACCATTGCAGCGAATGTGGAAAGAATCTGAATTCGCCATATACCTTCTACTGGCACCTACGCATTCACACGGGCGAGCGATTGTTTACTTGCCACTTATGCGGCAAACGGTTCCGCGTAAATCAGGGTCTGGCCCGACATCTGAAAGAGACCCACGCCGGCATCAAGAAAGTACCATGCGATCTGTGCGGCCGTATGTTCTCGACGCGGCGCAATGTCGAGGATCACAGACGCATTCATACCGGCGAGCGGCCATATGTTTGCAACGTATGCGGTAAAACATTCAAGCAGAAGGCCTCCCTGTTCGTGCACAATCGTACACACTCGGACGTGTTCCCGTTCAAGTGCAGCTATTGCGGGCAAACCTTTCGCACGCGACCGCCGCTGATGGTTCATATTACCAAACATACCGGCGAAAAGCCGCACGCCTGTGATGTGTGCGGCCGTTGCTTCCGTATCAAGTACGAATTGAAGCGACATCGTCTGATCCATTCTGACGAGAAACCTTGGCGTTGTACCGATTGCAGTCTCTCATTCCGACAGAAACGTTACTTAGTTAATCATAAGAGACTCAATCATGAACCGCCACGCTGCTCGGCCACCGCGAAGTAACAGGCTGACTCTCTTTTCAGATGGACGTGTCGAGTATCAAATGAGAAGGTGAGACGTATTGGAGACAATTCGCAAAAGGACTACGAATCCAACACGGAAGGATTACCGATTAATGTCGGGAAGCTTCATTCAACAATATCTAACAAGAAATATCAATCATTGACTCATCCCGATGATCTCAATGAAAGATTGGAATCGCGAAACGATCATTCGGCAGATTCCCATCTGGATAGCTTTGAAAAAAAGCAGAAGCTTCAAAAGAACCACACGATAGATTCTCGAAACAATATGGGACGATGCGAACAGATATCGGAACATAAACACGCAGAATTAACTCGCTCAAAGAATGAGAACAAATGCATCTCCTACAAATGTAAAGAATGCGGGAAAATTCTCTCCACCTCGTATAATCTGCTCATCCACTGTAATATTCACACAGACGCGCGACCTTACAACTGTTCTATCTGCGACAAGAGCTTCCGATCGGCATCCAATATGAACAGACATGTACGTGATGTCCACAATGGCGTCAAGAATTTTGTTTGCGACGTGTGCGGCCGTCGTCTCGCCTCACGAATCACATTTAAATCGTCGAAAAGTCAAACGATAAAGCATGGAACAAAATATCTTTACTCTAAATATTGATAGAAAAATAGTTATTATTCGTAAGGATCGGAACAAAACGATAATTTATAATTTAGATTTTTGTCACTTCGATTCTTACTTTAAAAGAGATTCTTTCTTGTATTTTATCGGTTTGAGAATAATTTTAATGGATTAATGAGATTTTTGTGATTAAAATGACATTAAATACAACATAAATCGGAAAATTTTTACCTAAATTAATAATATAAAAATTTTGATTACAAATTTAACTAAAAATTATCCGGTTTATGTCATGTTTGGTATCATTTTAATCGCAAAAATCATTAATCCATTAAAATTATTTTCAAACAGGTAAAATATAAAATATAAAAGTTTTATTTTCTATGGTAATATGAGTCGAGGGACGAGCACAGACGCACTCATACCGGCGAGAGACCTCATACGTGCGAGACCTGTGGCAAATCTTTCAAACAGAAGGCGTCCCTGCACGTGCATCGGCTCTATCATTCCCAAATTTTACCGCATCATTGCGATCTATGCGATCGCGGTTTCCGGAGGAAGCAAGAATTGGACAAGCATGTGTCCTGGCATTTCGATCAAAAGCCTTATGCTTGCGATATCTGTGACGAGCATTTCAGCAGCAAGAGTTGTGTTGTTCGTCATCAACGTATTCATATCGATCAACAGTCACATATTTGCACGATTTGTAACGCTGGATTCACTCAGGAACGCTATCTGAAAAGGCACTGTGAAAACTTTCACAAAACTGTATATATATAAACATAAACAGGTTTCGTTGTTTGTTTATGGATACGTTCTGACGAAATATACAATGTTGTGTAACACAACACAAGTGAATTCTTGATTAGGAAGAATTGAAAAACATTCAATCGAATAGAATCTTGACGAGTAAAGAAGAGGAAGAAAAGGAAATCAGGAGCAAGAATCCCGAAGAAAACCAACCTTTACGTATCATAAATGTATCTTCTGATGATAAATTTGAATTGAAACATTATATAAAGTGCCGCCAATAAAACGCAAAGATGTCGAGAAATCAAGCAATAAACCGTATAGAGTCTTCGGAAGAATCGCTTTTCTGCTACAAATGTAACAGCCGATTCATCCGACAAACAGATTTAGACTGTCACATTCTTATCGATCACAATGAAATGAATTTTTGCTTTCGCTGTAATATAGTCTGTCTCGATCGGAAAACACTTAAGAGCCATAATAAAGAATGGCACAAAGCAAGACACACAGACGTCTGTATTTTTTGTCCTGTGGCTTATAAGGGATTAATACATCGCAGGAAAATGCATGGTAAAATTCAATACAAATGTGTATACTGCCACAAATTTTTCTATACATCGAAGAAACTGTATAATCATCTACGTATACACAAAAAGCCGTTTAGTTGTTCTATTTGCCTGGCGGAATTCAATACGAAACAGTCGATGCGGCGGCATCTTATCAACAAACATTTCGAAAAACCATGCCGCTGGTTGCCAAGTCTTGAAAATCTTGAACATTTTAAAAACTTAACTGTAACCAAATAAGAGGAAATAAGAAGAAAATACTTTGACTTCTCGAACTTATTTCTCTTTATGTTGATATCGTTCGGAAATGTTAATTGATTTATTTGATTTATTGATAAATTTTTTGGATTATAGATTAAAGAGAATCTTGCATGTGTGTATACGGAATTTATTAGTATTGAATAATTTCGTCATTATTCTCAAAAAAGTTTTTTTTGGACTTTTTAACAATTATTGAAACAAAAAAATTAAATAAAAATAAGCTTTGATTAGATGCCATCAAGAAAGAAGTACACAAAATAACTGACGTGAAATGACAACAATATTCTGTAATTTTGGAAATTTAACATCAAATTCTGCCGCAAAATTTGTTAAGTAACACCAGAAGAAGAAGACTGAACAAGAAAAGTTGTAAATAGATTTCAGGAAATATATTTTTAAATTATCAGAGGAAAATACTATCAGACAAGTGGATCGAAGACACTTCTGTTTAGATTTTAGAAGTTGTAATTGTCTTTAAAGCATATCCAGAATTGTTGTATACGCAACGAGTGAATTTCTATTGATATGAAATTGAACCTACGACTTCGCGCACACATTTCAGATAAAAGCAGGTGCTGGAAAAATCGACATATTCTGATGTATTACGACGAGCGTTTTTCATCACCGACGCATTCTTACCAATCCGATAGCATGTTGTGCTATCTGAAGAAACAATACAGAAGTTTTCACAAGGTCATAGAGGCTTTTATAACGTCTAAATATGAAATATGGATTTATTTGTTTTTCAAAGTATCTCGACACATAGCGCATATAGAATGCTATTGAATCCGAGGAGTAGGATATCGATTGTATATATAATATTGTTCTAGTTGCGCTGCAATATTGTTCTAGTTGTGATTTGTAATGCAGTTTTAATTGACATCCTGATTTCCTACAATTTGTATAACAAGATCGTCTAAAATTATTAGAGCGTCTTATAGAACACAGACAAATCAAGAGAGAAATTTGGAAAGTGCTGTCGGAAAATATAAGTAAAAAATCGGCAATCACGATTGCGAGGGTGTTCTTGAAAAACAAATTCCGCTTTGAAACGTCATACAAATCAAGCGAAGATTTCGAGCGTGATGGAACAAGGAGCAAGCTTCACATCTTCGACAGATCATTTTATAAACATAATGGAATCGGTGCGAATTCTCGCATCAACCGAGAGACCGTACGCTTGCAATGTATGTAAAATTCAGTTCGCCGAAATACCAAAATACGTCGAACACACGAAAGTCCACTCCGACAGACCTTACAGATGCGATAGATGCAGAAAAACCTATCAATCCTTGGTAGCGTTTCGGGAACACATTAATAAAGATCACAAACAGGTGCTTCGATATACCTGTCGTCATTGTTCTAAAAACTATACACGGTACGCCAATTACTACACACATTTAAGAGAACATGGTAAGAAATATTTATAAAATATGTTGCTTTTTTTCAAATCAATCGTATGAATATTTTTGTTTTTGTACAGAGTGCTTCGAGTGCGACGTTTGTTTTAAGCAATTCTCTGAGTATCGTGTTTTATTTGAACATTATGTAATAAATCATGTCGAAAAAGTGGATGAAAAAAAAATGGAAGAAGCCAGAAAATACCTTTGCTGTCTACAAAATCAGGATTGTCCGGAACATCCCAAGTAAAAATTTGCAAATTTGCAAAATAATAACCGAAAATTAAATGATAATATACAATAGTGCGAAACTATATGATAATCGATATAAGTAAAGCGCTGAAGAATTTCGTATAAGATAAATTTCTCATTTTGTTAATTTTAATTATTTCTTCCTCTTGACGAACATAAATTTAAATTGCGATATAACACAATTACAATGTAGTTGTCATAAAAAAATTGTTTAACGAACAGAAATGTGAGAATAACTGTCATAGAAACAAAAATGTATTTCGGAATATTATTATATATTTCAACAATAATTAGATATTAAATTCATTTAATTTTATTTTGATGATATTTCTAAATAATTTATTTTTCTCTTTCAATCTTGTACATGCACGTAATAAACAAAAAATTATTTATGATCGAAATATTGCCCTACGACTTCGCGCACACATTTCAGATAAAAGCAGGTGCTGGAAAAATCGACATATTCTGATGTATTACGACGAGCGTCTTTCATCACCGACGCATTCTTATCAATCCGATAGGATGTTGTGCTATCTGAAGAAACAATACAGAAGTTTTCACAAGGTCGTAGAGGCTTTTATAACGTCTAAATATGAAAGAGGGATTTATTTGTTTTTCAAAGTATCTCGACACATAGCGCATATAGAATGCCATTGAATCCGACGAGTAGAATATCGATTGTATATATAATATTGTTCTAGTTGCGCTGCAATATTATTCTAGTTGTGATTTGTAATGCAGTTTTAATTGACATCCTGATTTTCTACAATTTGTATTACAAGATCATCTAAAATTAAAGGACAATGAAAAAACTTTTACAAGACTTCGGATATAAGCATGCAAGTATGAAATAGCATTTGTTGTTTATTTGTAGAGATATCCGGATGATATAAATGTTAATTGTTGCGACTCGATATTCAAAATTGACAAATAGTAAGATAATTGCACGCATGCGGTGTTGTTTTAAATACTGCGAAACGCTTTAATTTTACAAACCGAATTGTTAAATTAACTACAGAATGTTTATCTCCTGCAAAAAAAAATTAAAAAATCTGCAATTCTCAGTGACTTATATTTTTTTTCTAGAAAAATTAGGGAATTCAAAAAACATTAAAAAGCGGACAAATAAATAAAACACATCAATTTCATGACTTGTGTAATGTGTAATAGGTTAATAGAACTCGTTATATACACTGATGTACATACATAAAGATAATTACACACAAATTTATAATGGCATAAATAATTAAAGAAATAAAATAATTAATACTAGAGGCTATTATTATTATTATTATTAACTCACGCTATTATAATTATCTTAATATTTTAATTATTCATGCTTATATTGTAAATTTTGTAACAAAATAAGAGGAAATAAGAAAAAAGTACTTCGACCTCTCGAACTAATTTCTCTTTATGTCGATATCGCTCGGAAATGTTAATAGATTTATTCGATTTATTGATTAATTTTTTGTATTAAAGAGAATCTTGCATGTGTAAAGGCAAAATACACGGAAATTATTGGTATTGGATATAATTTCGTCATTATTCTCAAAAAAGTAATATCTTTTGGACTTTTTAACAATTATTGAAACAAAAAAATTAAATAAAAATAAGCTTTGATTAGATGCCATCAAGAAAGAAGTACACAAAATAACTGACGTGAAATGACAACAATATTCTGTAATTTTGGAAATTTAACATCAAATTCTGCCGCAAAATTTGTTAAGTAACACCAGAAGAAGAAGACTGAACAAGAAAAGTTGTAAATAGATTTCAGGAAATATATTTTTAAATTATCAGAGGAAAATACTATCAGACAAGTGGATCGAATACACTTCTGTTTATATTTTAGAAGTTGTAATTGTCTTTAAAGCATATCCATAATTGTTGTATACGCAACGAATGAATTTCTATTGATATGGAATTGAGTGATTATAATATATTCGGTTGTTTAAAACAGAAAAATAATGAATTTTTCTTATATCTTGCTTGTTTGATTATACGTTACTTTCTTCTAGCAAATATAAAATTATAAATTAATTACTTAATCTTTTATATATCATAAGATATTTTCCTCTTAACTATTAAAAAAAACTCTTCTTGCATAAATAACATTTATATTTTTATTGAATTATTTTTATATGTAATATATAAATATTATACATATACAAAATTTTATTATAGATATATAATTGTATATACAAATATTAACAATTAATAGAGAGTAAATAATGGATTAAATCTCTCGAAAATACGAAATTTTACCTTAGACAATATAATCTTATTTCATATTTGGTTTGTATAACAGATTTTTTATTTAATAAAAATTTTGGGACACTGGAGATTGCATTAATATAATGAAGATGTGTAGTATAAATGATTATTCGATAACAAGCATGTAGTTATTTTTTATTTTTCAGATTGAAGAATCAGATTATGCACGATCGAACAACCGTCCATAGCTACTCTCGGCAAAAGTACAAGATACTCGCCGGAAAACACAGTAATAAAATTAATTCGATTCAAACTGAAACATACAATACGATCAACCAAGATCCAAAGAATATCCCATCTCTTACAAATAATATTGCTAATGATCAATCAATTAAATGTTTACCATCTCAAATAAATATATTTCCCAAAATGCGTTCGTCGAATAAATCAAAAAGTGAAAAGCAGAAAAATAAAAATACAAAAGACAAAGGTTCCAATCCTGCTAAACTGACGCGCGCAAGTGGTGCAAAAGAAATGAAGGATATTTCGACGGAATATATCGCCGAGATGAACGCTAATGCTTGTCTAGAAAAAAATGTCAAACAGTGTAAAACTGAAAGAATTTCATCCATCAATGATGCGGCAATGATTTGCAAGATCTGTAATAAAAAGTTTCCTTCACGGAAAAGCTACTGGGCTCATGTACGCACGCACAAGGGAGAAAAATCGTACACGTGTCATATCTGCGGTAAGCAATTTATCCAGGGCGGTAGTTTGTATTATCATCTGAAGCACGTGCACGACGGCGTAAAGAATCACGCTTGCGACATATGCGGCCGCAGTTTTGCTATGAAGACCGCCATGGAGGACCATCGGCGTATTCATACCGGTGAACGCCCGTATGTGTGTCACACCTGTGGCAAGACATTCAAGACTAAAGCGTCCCTTTATATACACAGCAAGACTCATACAGATGAGTTCCCGCATAAGTGCATCTATTGCGCCAAGAGATTTCGCTGGAGACAGCAGATGCTGGGTCACTTGACGGTGCACACGGGTGAAAAAAATCACACGTGCGACGTATGCGGCAAGGGTTTCGGCGTGAAAAACGACTTGACTAGACATAAGCGTATCCACTCCGAGGAAAAGCCGTATACGTGTCAGCAATGCGGCATCAGCTTCGGCCAGAAACGTTATCTCAAAAGTCACGAACGCTTAAGATTAGGAATGTGCGGGTACTCGCAAGAACAAAATCAAATCGAATCCGATTGATCTTGTCACGTTGGAATTGAATTTGAATAATTCCGTATAATTTAAATATTTTTGATATCGAGAATACAAAAATTATTTTCCTATGAATTATTTCAAATAATCACATATCCCATATCTTAAGATATGGACATATATATTTATGTATATATACACGTGTATCATATATATACATATATATATACATTGTGTATGTATCTCATTAATAACGTTCACAATGTGTATATATATACATTGTGAAGTCTTATAGAACACAGACAAATCAAGAGAGAAATTTGGAAAGTGCTGTCGGAAAATATAAGTAAAAAATTGGCAATCACGATTGCGAGGGTGTTCTTGAAAAACAAATTTCGCTTTGAAACGTCATACAAATCAAGCGAAGATTGCGAGCGTGATGGAACAAGGAGCAAGCTTCGTATATTGGATAGATCATTTTATAAACATAATCGAATCGGTGCGATTTCTCGCATCAACTAAGAGACTGTACGTTTGCCATGTATGTAAAATTCAGTTCGCCAAAATAAGAGAATTGACCGATCACGAGCAAGTCCACTCCGTCAGACCTTACAGATGCGATAATTGCAGAAAAACCTATCAATCCTTGGTAGCGTTTCGGGAACACATTAATAAAGATCACAAACAGGTGCTTCGATATACCTGTCGTCATTGTTCTAAAAACTATACACGGTACGCCAATTACTACACACATTTAAGAGAACATGGTAAGAAATATTTATAAAATATGTTGCTTTTTTTCAAATCAATCGTATGAATATTTTTGTTTTTGTACAGAGTCTTTCGAGTGCGACGTTTGTTTTGAGAAATTTTCTGAGTTTTGTGTTTTATTTGAACATTATGTAACAAATCATGCCGAAAAACTGGATGAAAAAATGGAAGAAGCCACAAAAAAACGTTTGCTGTCTACAAAATCAGGATTGTCAGGAACATCCCAAGTAAAAATTGGCAAAATAATAACCAAAAATTAAATGATAATATACAATAGTGCGAAACTATATAATAATCGATATAAGTAAAGCGCTGAAGAATTTCGTATAAGATAAATTTCTCATTTTGTTAATTTTAATTATTTCTTCCTCTTGACGAACATAAATTTAAATTGCGATATAACACAATTACAATGTAGTTGTCATAAAAAAAAATTGTTCAACGAACAGAAATGTGAGAATAACTGTAATAGAAACAAAAATGTATTTCGGAATATTATTATATATTGCCTTCAACAATAATTAGATACTAAATTCATTTAATTTTATTTTGATGATATTTCTAAATAATTTATTTTTCTCTTTCTTTCGGAACGGTTTTCTGTATTTAAGGAATAGACAAATAACTTTCAAATATGTTTCGTAAAAACAATATTGTCATTAATGCTCGTGAAAAATCCATTATATATTACGAAAATATTCTTGTATATTATACGAAAGTATCCTTGATCCTCCAATAAACAATCAATGTATTCATATCGATCAAGAATCGTATATTGTTAAGTAGCATCACTATCTGAAAGGACAATGAAAAAACTTTTACAAGACTTCGGATATAAGCATGCAAGTATGAAATAGCATTTGTTGTTTATTTGTAGAGATATCCAGATGATATAAATGTTAATTGTTGCGACTCGATACCCAAAATTGACAAATAGTAAGATGATTGCACGCATGCGGTGTTGTTTTAAATACTGCGAAACGCTTTAATTTTACAAACCGAATTGTTAAATTAACTACAGAATGTTTATCTCCTGCAAAAAAAATTGAAAAATCTGCAATTCTCAGTGACATATTTTTTTTCTAGAAAAATTAGGGAGTTCAAAAAACATTAAAAAGCGGACAAATAAATAAAACACATCAATTTCATGACTTGTGTAATAGGTGACAATGTTTAATATGTTAATAGAACTCGGTTAGATGCACTGATGTACATATATAAAGATAATTGCACACAAATTTATAATGGCATGAATAATTAAAAAAGTAAAATAATTAATACTAGAGGCTATTATTATTATTATTATTATTGAATGCAAATAATGATAATAACTCACGCTATTATAATTATCTTAATATTTTAATTATTCATGCTTATATTGTAAATTTTTATATGATAATCCTTAAAATGCAATCTAGTGGTATCCAACCGAATTCGCTATAAAAGAACGCATTATATATTTTTACTCTGGACTATCAAGTAATGTAAATTTACTTGTAAAATAAAATGTAACAATTAATATAAAAAGCAAAAACATAAGTAATATAATGTATAACATAAAACAACAAGATTTCGTACGAGATAATTGTATTATTTTATTTATAGTTTTTTCTTTCTCCTCCATATCTAAAGTTAATTTGCAATTTAATAACGATCGATCTAATTTTCATAAATAAAACTTGCTTGAAGACTAAAGATCTGAAATTAATTGTAATACAAAATACTAAGTAATAAATGGTGTTTAAAATATCTTACGCGATATTATTATCTTCAATCGTAATCAGAAACTAATCTGAAACTAATTTAGTTTGATTGAAACATTTAGAGGATATTTAAATAATCCTTATTCCTGTCTTTTTTCTCGAGGCGCTTCTCTGCGCTTAAGACTTGCTTGAAATATGACGCGCTTATGACTTTCTTGAAATATGACGAAATCGGTATTGTCATTAATACGTGTGAAAAATCCGTGTGTATTTCGAAAATACGTACAGAACGCGCTATAGTTGGAACAACCTTGCACGTGCACGTAATACATCGAAAACTATTTATAAATGAAACCGCCATCGTATTATTACCCGAAATAAGTTGGGACGTCCACAGTCTTGACGTCTGTCTACGCGGTGTCCAAAGAAACATGTGATAGTATATGTCTATGTGTGTATAGTATTATAATTTTTAATGATTTTTTATAATCTTGTATAATCTTGCCTCCAATAATCTTGCCTCTCAAATACTTATATACGTCAAATTTGAAATATCTCAAAATTTTTATATTATAATCCTGTCTTTGATAATTATATCTCCTATTCTCGATAATTAACCATGTTATCATATCTCTTAATTATCTATAGTTTAATTTCTAAGGCTTGATAATTTTTAAAGTAATTTGAAAAATAACTCGATACATTTCTAGAATGAAATAATTAAAACTTCGAAATATTTTCATCGAGCACAAGAGTTAAGTGCGGATTCGATCCGAGAATAGATCTCGTTGTTGTATTTTCCCTAGCACATCCTGTATATTGTTTACATGTTTTTTTCCCTTCGCTTCCCTATCTTCCTCCGAAGAGGCAAAGACGAAAACGACGCGCGCGCTCTTCCCCGACGCGAGAATAAAATAAACGAGAGACGTCGAAGAGGCGGACTGTAAAATATATCTTCGAGGACCCACGCAATATTTGGCGACGACAGAAACCGTCAAGTTGACCGTCTTTACGGTGGATCAAATCCAACGAATAATTTTCCTGCAAGAAGACAAAAGTGTGGCATGAAGTGCATGATACCAAGTCATCAATGATTTGGATCATCATTTTAATAACCGTAGCGTTATCAGGATAACGTGGATAACACATCTGTGATTTTTTGTCGATTCAATTATTAAAATCAGTGAATTATTTTCGCGATTCATCGAACAATTGAGACTTGCGCGCGAATATTTCACAAGGGTATCTTATACGTCATATTTAATGAAGATCCATCGTATTTGTCTAGCTTTAATTATGGTCATGAGAACAATGGTTTAAAAGAGTTTTGTGCACGTGGGTTTCGTTTAGAAACAGTCTAAAGTGAATTTGTTCTACTGCTATAATAACAATATATAAGTCGTAATATATTTATAATTTCAAAGACGTTTACAACGTCAGATTTCATTCACCATTTTCACGATGCAATTATACCAAGAGGAATAATTTAATTTGACGAAGCATGACATAATAAAGGGTGACAAGAAGAAGCTCAAAAAAATTTCTACGAACATCCTACAAGGATGCAGCGAGTCCTGAGCTTCCAAATGACCCGCAATATCGACGAGTCCAGTGAATACGTAACGAAACGATTGTGTTTCTCGTTTCTCTTCTCGGTCGGTTTCCTCTGTCTTCTCTGCGGCTTTTTGTTAGGCCGCTTCGCCGTCGAGAGGTCAATGGAAACTCAAGCGCAGAAGACGCGGGGCGAATTGGCCGGAAATGGTCTCCGGACGACGGAGCATCTTCAGCAAGTGATGCTTCTAGAATTGACAAGA